TATGTTTTTACATATTCCTTTTCAAGCAACACAAAGCCTTTCATAAACATACCTAGATTATTGATTCAAGAGCAACGAGATCATATCGTTTTTTTCTCTTGATTATTTCACCTCTTATAAACTTGTTAGAAATATATTTGTTAAGCTCACTACTCGAACGACTCACTTATATCTCCCATATTGGTCGGATTAAATTTTCAACCGATTTCATTCTTCATTTTGTTTTCTTTGTTTCCACTTTTTTTTCAATCTTATATCCACTAGTAAACTTTATTTTACCTCTAACTATTACATAATTTTAAAATCCGATTGTTACATCATTTAAGACTTGCATTTTAGAGGATGACTGGATTGAGTAAACAATTAAATGACCTCTATCAACTTGTTCTTAGGTTTTTCCCATGGAACTAAAGGTTATAAATTATATAACCTTCAAACTAGATAATTTCTTGTTTCTAGAGACGTCATGTTCCTTGAAACCGTCTTTCTTTTTCACTCGTCTTCATTTTCTTATCGGATCTCACTTTTGGTTATCCCTCAAATTCATAAGACTTGACTTGCCTTTCTTATGATTTCATTAACTCGATCTTTTCCCTTCATCCGATACACCTCCTCCTCCCGTTACTCCAACTTCAACTCCAACTCTAGAATGTCATACTTTTGATTGAAGGCCTTCGTTCCTCTTAGAAGATCATGTTCCTTGATCATAAATTGTACCATCATACCTTCAAGATTATCATTGTAGCCTCACAACACAACTGTCTCAATCTAATTCACCCTCTACATCGGGTTCGAAATCATTATTATTAGGTAAACTTTCTTCACCTCACTCTCTAGATTTTGTTTTATCTTACAATAATGTCCCTTTTCCATATAAAGTTTTTACAATTAACATCGGTATTTAGTCTATACCCACCACTTATAATTAAGCCATTAAACATTCTTGTTGGAGGGATGCTATGTAAGTCGAGATAAGCTGCTTTATAGGATAACCACACTTGAAAAATTATTAACTTACCTCCTTCTAAACATTTTATTAGATGCAAATGGGTGTACAAAATAAAACACAAGGCCGATGGCTCTATCGAAAGACACAAAGCCACATTTGTGGCTAAAAGCTACACTAAAAAAAATGGAATTAACTACTTGGAAACTTTCTCTCCCATTGCCAAAATGATCGTAGTTAGGACCCTTCTTGCTATAGTTGCTATAAAGAATCGGTTTTTTCAGCAACTAACTCGTCAATAATGCATTTCTTCATTAAGATCTATATAAAGAAGTGTACATAGAGCTTCCTCCAGGTTTCTTTTCTCTTAAACCCAACCAAGTATGCAAGCTTCTAAAGTTCATCTATGAACCGAAACAAGCAAGTAGACAATGGTTTTTTAAGCTTTCGAAGCTTTACTATAACAAGGCTTCAAGCAAGTACAATCATATCATTCTCTCTTACTAAATCAACTCGAATATGGATTCATTGTAGCTTTAGTATATATTGATGACATGATACTCACCAGGTGATACTATAGATTGCATTTATCAACTCAAAATGTTCCTCCATAATACCTTTAAGATAAAGTACTTGGGGAACCTATATTTTTTTCTTGGTTTAGAAGTAGCTCGAACGTAATCGAGCATCAATGTGTGCCAACATAAATATACTCGGAATTACTCGGTGACACTCGGATTTCTTCACCGCAACACCTATGCAACCAAAGACACCATTAACGAAAGATGATAATGATCTTCTAAAAGATCTTACGCCTCACAAAAGGTTGATTGGTAAGCTTTTATACCTAAACACCACTCGACCTCGTTATCTCTTTTGTTGTTCAACAACTCTTCTAGTTTCTTGATCATCCTACTCAATCCCATTTGAATGCCGCACATCAAATTCTCGTGTACATCAAAGTTGCTCCTAGCCAAAGATTATTCTTTCCTTCTAGTTTGATCGCCTAATTACAAGGATTCTTTGATTCCGATTGGGCAACTTGCCCTATAACCAAAAAATTTATGAGTGGTTTTTGCATCTTCCTTGGCAATGCTTTAATCTCCTGGAAATCTAAGAAACAAACAACAAGTCTCTCATTCCTCATCGAAGCCGAATACAAAGCTCTTTCAATTACAACATATGAGATTCAATGACTCTTTTATTTATTATCAAATGTCAATGTAACTCACGCTCAAGCGACTCTACTCTTTTATGACAATCTTTCAGCAATACATATAGCTGAAAATCATGTGTTTCACGAACGAGTGAAGCACATCGACATTGATTATCACATTATGCGTGAAAAGTTACAAGCGAAACTATCAAACACTTGCTTGTATCATCCGCCAATCAATTGCGCATTGCTTCACCAAGGCCCTTCACGCTCCCCGCCTTTCATTCTCTCCTCTCCAAGCTTAACATCCATAACCCGTATGCTACAACTCGAGGGGGTTATTGGAGCATACACTTGGTATCACCTATAAGCACCTGAAGACCTTATCATAAGTCCGTGAAGCGGAAGAATTTTTCCTTCCTCGTTTTGTTACTTGGATGCGAGCTGGAAGTTATTTTGTTACCTGGTTCCTCTCCTCACGATTTCCATTATGTTTTCTAGAGTCCCCGTATAGTTAGAGAATTAGTTTTTGGTTTTACTTGTATATATACCCCTATTGCATCATTTAATGAAAAGAGAGAAAATGTTTCTTTCCATTTCTCCTCTTGTTTATTATTTTATTAAAACTTAATAGGTACTTTAGTTGATAGCCTTGCATACTTATGATCTATTTGACGAAGAAACTAATCTTTTCTAAACAAGAGAGGGAATAGCAGTAAAAAAAAAGAAAATAAGAAAATAACACGATGACATTTCAATCACTTCTTCTTCTTTTTTCTTGTGAATTACATATAGTGATAGTAATTGGTTGAGCATGGAGTCATTATTTATTTCATTTGCTTTAATAAATATTCATTAAAAATATTTAATAAATATTAAGAAGAAGTAAAAATAATATATATATATATATATATATATATATATATATATATATATATTTCGGATGTAAATATCTATTTTACATCTTACTAATACTCGTTAATTTTTTTTTAAAAAATTAACCTACATAAATCTAATTGCATAAATTTTATAAAATAAGAATTAAAATATTTTTTATGAAAAATTTGAAGACCAAAAACTTATAAAAAACCGAATATGTGAAAAAAATAATTTTCAAGGAACAAGATAACTTTATTAAAATTACAATAACTAAGATGAAATATTTTGACAAATTAGTTTTTGTGAGTATTAAATTAATATTAAATAAATGGGTAAACAAAATATGTGTGTGTGTATATATATATGCTAAGACTAATTTTATTCTAGACGAGAGATAAATGCGATTTTAGAATTCGAATCTTGCACATTGACAAAAATTTATTAAAAAAATAATTCGCTTACTACTAAACCTACAAATTGTTACTAGGTCGGATAGTTTCTTAATCTATAGCATGAGAGATTAAATTAATGAGTTAAACTTATTGCCACCCCTAATTACGTGTGTTAATAAAATTCAGTTCTCAAATTATTGAGAATTTATAACTTTGGTTTTGCCTTGTGTCCTGCAGCTACAGGGTGGAAAATAAAATGGCAAGGAGTCCTAAAATCTAGCTCACTAAGATAAGCACATATTATAGTTAATTAATCAATTGAACAGAAGGGAAAGGCAAAAAAAAAAAACAAAAAGCATCTGGACCATGAAATGTTGGGGAATCGTCAACTTCAGATGGACTGTACTACTATGTATTGACCTATATTGAAACCATGGATGATATACTCGTAATAAACGTCTAATATGTTTGTCTCTTTTTATTGACGAGTTATTATTTGTTACCATTCTTTCTTTTATTTTTGAACAACCGAATAATAATTTTTCTATATGATGATAGATCTTAAAATATTTTTGAACTAGTTTATGCATTAATTGAGACCAAATTTATAATTCTCTAAGTTAGGTCATATTCAGATTATGTCTAAATTTTAATCGATTCTAAAATCAAAATTTTTTAAACTTATCATGGTTTCATACCGAGTACCAAAAAAAAAAAAAAAATCTAGAAATGAAAATCAAATTCATAACTTGATAATTCAGAGACATTCTCATTACCATTATATCATTAAACTTTATGGATAATAACTTTATTTTAACTGAATAATCACTTTCATTTGATGAAGGGAAAGCATATTTTCAAGTCTTCTGCATGGAACGATGGAAATTGGGAAATCAGATTAAGATTGAAATGGAGGTTATCCCCGGTATAGTTTTTTATTTTTTTCCTTTAAAAAAGGTTAATGGAATAATTTACATTCAAATTATTAAAGTTGTGGTTAAATAAGATTTATAATATCAATTTGATCTATTTACATCCCAAACTATTAATTTTTAGATAAAATTTTCCTTCTCTCGTTATGTTTAATGGTCAAATTATCCGAAATACTTCAAACGATGTTATTTTAAGCATTTTTTTTAGAATTAAAATTAATTATTATTATTTTTTTTAATAAGAGTTAGGTTTAAGGAAGTTTAAATCATTTTATTATTTATATATCTTAATTTTGTTGTTGAATAATTAATGGATTTATCTAGTAAAAAAACCATATATTTTTTTTAAAATTAAATAATTAAAACGATGTCGTTTTAAAAGTTTTAGTTGATGGTTAACATTTTAATCACATAATAAAAAAGAATCAAATTTATCTAAAAATTAACAATTTAAAATTAAAATAACACAAATTAATAATATAGATTTTATTTTATTACAAACTCATAGTTTGGAATTAAATTATACAATTTTAAAAAGAGAGTATAGTCATGCTTTGTTTGACTTTAATATGATCTATGCCCGTTTCACATCACAATTAATCCAACATAAAACCATCGAACAAAAAAAATAAAAATGAAAGCCATAAAATTATGGTAGTCGTACATGTCTAATAAGTGGACTCCTTCCATCAGCACTAATGAGATGGTGGCGGTGGTGATCCCTGGACCTTTGGTGGAATCTCAGGTGGAATCATGTGCCTCATTCTACCTGGTTGTGGACCCGGAGGAGGGCTTAGATCGTGAAACCTCCCTCCAAGCATCCTTGCTTCCTGCCCTGCGAATGTCAACACATGAGAAACTGCACTAGCCCACAAAAAGATTCCAATCCGGATCCATGGATTGTGTTCTAAAGAGTAATGCTCTGCAAGATATTATCCACACATGATTTTATTTATACCAAAGCAAGTTGAAGTAAACAAGAGCTTTATTTATAGATTTCATCATACCTACCCATCAAGTCGGAAATTAAATTGACTAGAAATTACAAAAAAATGTCATCCCTTAATTGAACAAATCCAAAATGAAAAGAACTTTCCATGCCTCAGCACCAAAAATCAAGATATTAACTACTAAACAGCAACTTGTAATACTGGTCGATATCAAATGTAGTTGCTGCAGAGTTTGCTCAATAAATTCCTAAACACAACAAACAAACCTGCATTTACGAAGAACAACTGCAGGATGGAGATGGTAAGGACTGAAAACAACAGTAATAGAACCGATCTTCGGCCCAATGAGCGGAGAGCCATTGCTTCGGGGTACAGCTCCACTTTCCAATTCCGAATTTCAACTCCTCCTCGACCTCATCACTCTGATAAATGAAGTCAAAGGGTTGAACAAGTCCATCACTTAATCTAGTGTCACAATTATTGAGGAAAAACTATATAATAAGTATATTAATTTTGAATTTTTTCTTAATCGAGAATATTAATTTTATTTTTTTCGTTTCAATATATCAATTTTTTCAAAAATATCATTTAAGTTTTTATATCTAATTTTTTATACAGTGATGATATATTAGTCAAATGATTATATGATTTTTTTATTATTTTCTCCTCTCAAATTGTTATGATTGTTTAATTATTAATTGAAAAAAAACCAAAGAACCTAGCATGAATACATGCCAAATATATATATATATATATATATATATATATGGAGAGAGAGATAGAACAATTTAAATTTTAATATTGATGATAAATATATATTTGGCATGTATGCATGCTAGCTGCTTTGCTTTTTTTTTTTTGTTTAATTAATAGTTAAACAATAATAATAATTTAGGAAGGAAAAAAAAGAAACATAATCATTTAGTTTTATGTGTTAATTGTCATATCATCATTACACGAAAAATTAGACAAAAAAAATTTAATTGACATTTTATAAAAAATTAATATACTAAAACGAAAAAAATAAAAATTGATGTACTCAATTAAAAAAAATCAAAATTAATATTCTGATTATATAGTTTTTACTAATTATTTATAATAGTTTAAGCGAACCTCATCTTCTATGTGGAAGCAACAATATTTAGCTTACGGCTTTACCTAATCCATCCACGCACTAGAATAACAAAATTTCAACCTAATCGTTTGGACATGATATCATATAATATCTGATAAAGAAACGGATCCATGACACGAAGGCAGTGATAAAGATTTACTTTGTTATCTCATTTATTAACGAAGAATATACAATCCCATTACTGGTCAGCTTTGAGCAAAATATAGAATAATAGAATCCCTGCAAGGTTGTCATGAAGGTTCAACTGGCCAAGGCTTAGAGAATCTGCTATGAATTTTTAAAAATAAAAATAAAATAAAATCAATAAATCAATAGATAATTCTAATAACCAACCGGCCAATCTATATGGTAAAGATTAATACTAGAAAGACGAGTAGCTCAAGAAAAGATGATCGTCATTTAATAAAAATATTTTTAAATTCAATAATAATATTATCAAAGGACCATCTCATCTATAAATTTAAGCTTTTAGGAATGATAAGATTTGAATTTGGAATCACGTGATCAATCAAGTTTTGATACCATATTAAATGATCATCTCATCTAAAATCTTAAACTTGTAAGTAAGGTCTCGAAGTATAATTTATATTAGTTTCTAACCGATATGTTATATAACAATGTAGTAATTATGATTTTAATTATATCTCTTGATTCAATACAATCTGTGTTAAAATCAATACAGAAAAAAAGGGAAAAAAAAGAATTTCACCAAAGCCGAATTTCAATTTAAATCTATGAACTGCTTATGTGCTCGGGAGTGGAAAAATAATCACTACACAGTGCTAGCTGATTCTGACGTTCATTGAACAATGTCTGATTGTGATTTTTTTTTTTAATTAAAGAATGCCTCTTTCCCTCCTCCCGCGGCTAAAAATAATAATAATAATAAAAATAAAAATCTCCATGCCCAGATTGCATCATGGAAGAGTTGTTTCTTTGACACAATAGAATTTCGTTAACTCGTTGGAAATGGCCATGCTAGTCCATATAACACTATGGACTTTAGGCTCAGGTACAGTAACATGGGCTTCCGATCCACCCAAATGCCTGATACAACAAAATATACGTAATTGAGATATTAGGTATTTCCGAATTAGTCCCTTCCTCACTCACATAATAATGACACTCACCTATAGTTATCATAGGGATCCTATTTTTTTATGTGAGCGAAAGACTGCTGCTTAAAAAATATCTAATAATCCCTCCATCAACTAGTGATGCTCTAAATCCATTGCCACGGAAATGGAAGACAATATTTCTTCATTCAGAATTTCAAATACCCCATATGCATGTAGATTAAATTATGAGAAATTATTAGATGTGTTAATAGTTATATTTCGTCTTCTTACCAAAATACAAGACACTAATTTCGTTCTTTTACCAAAAAAAAAAAAAAAAAAAACACAGGACTCATTATAACAATAATTTATGAATTTTATATTTTTATGAGAGAGAAAAATATACTTGTTAATATACTGAATAATTCTTTTTAAAATTACATAACGTGTCTCCTTCTGCAGTGGCAGTTTTTCGGCTTTGTTTTCTTTTGTTAATTTATGTGGACAAGTTGCTAGGCTGGGTCATGAGGCTATTGAGCAAAGCCCCTTGGTCCTAGGGTTTATATGTGTTCTTTTCACATCACACACACATATATAAAAGACGGGCATAAGCGCATTTAGAAAAAAATATTAAGCATGCCAGAAGTTGTATTCTACTCTTTTATAAAAATATAATATTCACTATGAAAATAATTTATAAGTCTCATGAAAAATGGCGAAAAGGAAGGGTAAAGTTTTGGTATACTGAATAATTCTTCGTGCATTAAATTCATTGTACAAATAACGAGTCATCCGCATTCTTTCTTCCTACGTGAATGAAAAGCTAGATCTCAAATTCTCCAAGTTTGCTTGATAGGGAGGCACTTAACTGGTATTGCGTATTTTGTCTTTCTATTTTTTCAGATTAAAATATTTTTTGAGGGATAATTACTGTTTGGTCTCGAATCTTTATTTATATGTTATAAAAACAAAAGAAAAATTAACTAAATTTGCAAACAAGAATCAAGATTTTGCAACTTGTATATAGTGCACACAAGATTATCTGATAGGAATGTGAAGTTATAATCCAATTTTGTTGGTTTCCGCGTTTTATGTTTATGTGCCTTCGCTAATAGCCGGCTTCTTTAACAGAAGGTAATACTGGCACTCCCTCCATTTTATAATCACACTCCCACCATCTCTCTTTGTTTTTTCAAATGACAAAAACACCCTCATTTCATATGTAATAATCCCTCCGTTAGCGTGATTATAATTGATGATTAATGTTCATGTGTCCCATAATTAAGTATATTGTTAATTAGTTCTTTATCTTTAAAAATTAATTATTCAGTCGATTGACTAGTGTTGGCCTTGCTTCATTTATTATTACTTCATTTAAAAAAAATAGTCAAATTTTTTCATCAATCATTATTTTTTTATATTTCTTAAAATAAAAAATCAAAATAAATTAAAAAAATATTATTTTATAAGTAAATTTAACACTATAAAAACTAAATAATTATTTTTTAATACGATAACGATTAATTAATTTGTTTCTTAAAACTAAAAACATTAATTTATAATTTATTTTTCTACAATTCCAAGTGTCAATATCCCACAGGATGTTGTCATGGCCTACATGCCCCCTCAACACCCTTCAAAAATTTTATTAGAATTTTATGAATTACTTAATGTTACATATAAATTTAATAAAAGAAAAAAGAAAGAAAAAGGACATTTTGAACAAAATAACAAAGGAAATGTCAGAAACTCAAGCAACCCCAGGTCAGTAACCCCTGCACTCATTGTTGAAAAATATTAAAAAAATGATTTTTTTAATATAAAATAATATTACATTAAGCATCATCCGAACTGGTTAATGGACTATATAATTAGTTTTTGAAAAAACACTTTTTTATTTCTACAAAATAAAAAGACTAAATTATAATTTACTCAATCGTGACATGCATAAACATCACTCATTAGTAATGACAAATGAACTTTCACCACGTACCCCGCTTTCGCTATCAGGCAAATTAGAAAGCAAAGGCTTTAATGCATTAATACAAATAAAAACGACGGCGTTTTGTTATTTAAAAAAGAAAAGAAGAAAGATAGCTAGAAAGCGAGTACAAGACGGGAGGAGTGCCATCGCACCTCCCTTTTCCTTACTACTCGATTCCTAATGACGTCGTTTTATCTGCTCCTTGATTTTTCTTGAGGGTTCTGTGGTCTAGGTCCATTTGTTCTTTTGCTGGGAACTGGTTGTTGATTATTTTTCTTTTCTACGGCCAATATTTTGGGGCCCGCAACTTGTGGCCCAACTTGTTAAAAAGAAAGCGACGGCCACCGTTGTGCTGTCCACTCGCTAATTTTCTTACTTTCCGCTTTTTCCTCCGTCTTTCAACAGAGGCTTCTGTCGTTTTAATTAAACAACGAATGCTAGTAATTAGCACAATTTCAGAAGCCATTATTCGCCCCAGTTTTAAAAATCTCGATTAATCCTTCGAGTTTCAAAGTACGGATGTTATCATAATTGTGATTGGGGAGTATAGTAATGGCGTATGGGTTGAAGACAATCAACCACGCAAGTCTGAGATGATTTTATCCATCCATATTCTGCATAATATTTTGAGTCATGCATGATGAACAAACAAAAGCATCTCATCTCACACGCGCGTAGACGACTGTCCAAATCAGTTTCCAAATTCAAATAACAAATCATCAGAAATCAGAGCTAAAGCAGCAGAGTATAAGCAAACTAAAACCATCCACATCACAGTTTTCATTCTAAAAGCCATTAAATCTCAGTCGATGATCTTTGATTTTTCCCGATTGACAGACGAAGGGATCAGATCTATCAACGTACAAACAGATCAACACTTCCTCTAATCTTTTCAACTGAACATCATGAACTGCAAAAAAACCATCAACAACATAGATCACAAGAACCCACATAAAAGCAAGAAAAACCAGTCTAGTAACCGACATACTTTAATAGCACACATCCTCTTATGACCAAAGACAAGCATACAAGGCAGATCTTACCAAAGTGGACATGCGTGAACTGAGGGACCTGAAGCAGGACAGGCAAGGGAAGGGGAGGAAAAAGCTGGAGATCACCGGTATGGGAGGCGTTGGAAAGAATAACATTTGGTTACTTAGAACCAAGAAATCCTGTCCAATTCTCCCACACCCATAACCTCCAGCAATCCTCTTCCCGTTCCCTCTTTCTCCTTAATTGATTTTCAGTCATACTTCTATCTAGAATAAGGAAAGAGAGGAGTCACAGAAAGCAGATGGAATGGGAGGAGTAGGCAAGAAAAATATTAATTGATGAATTTTTTACTTTTTTTTTCTTCTTGCATACTCTCCCATCTCCAAAGACTTGCTAGGACTCTCTATTTCTCTCGTCTATTAACTAGCAAGTTCAAGGCAATTAGGTTTTTCACAAGATGGGTGTTAATATAGGCAGAGAGGGAGGAGAGTGCTTGATTTTCTTCCTACAGAAGTCAAGAAATGCAATTTTTTAACCTCTAAAACCCAAGTTTTAAAAAGACGCGTGTGATGCTCCAATGCCTCGGCCCGGGACAAAAAAGTGGTTGGTGTGGAGATAAGATGACTGAAAAAGTGGAGAATCTGAAATGACAGCAATAAAGAGAGCTGTAGCCTAGTGTAATTTGCAATTTTTATTATTATTATTATTTATCTGACGACAGGATAGATCTGAAGGTAAAGCTTGGATAACATTTGAAAATATTTTTACTATTTTTAATAAATTGAGATGTAATTTTTTTATTTTTAAAAAAATAGATTTATAGAGTAATTATTATAAATAAATAATAATTATATGTTTTTTTTCAATTTAATACTATCCTATTATTATGATTATGATTATGATTATTGTTTTGGTTTTGAACCATAAATAAACATATGGTATTGTTTTTGAATAATTATATTGAACTTAAAATTCTATTTGATTTATTTTGAGGTTAGCTATTATCCTTCATTTTTTTCCATTTCTATTAAATATCTATAACATTTTAACTCTTAATATTTTTTACATCCCCTTTATACTTCATTCTTAAATTTCACTTTTTAATATTTATGTTTAAAAATTTTGAACTTTATACCAAAATTACCATGGTAATTGGGATGTTTTCATAACATTATTCATATATCAAAACTAGTGTTTATTAGTATTATTATTATTGCTATTATAGGTTATCTACATTCGAATTTATTGAAGTAACTATGAAAAATTATTCTATTTATTAACCAATTTTAGCTTCTCACAATAGGGTAACTTATGGTTGAATCTAGAATACTAACGTCAATAAATGATAGTTGATGGTAAAACAATAAAATAAAAGTTTATTAATGTCAAATGTAACTCCTAATTTATAATGTGGCGTTGCTAGGAGTGCCTTTATTATTATTATTTTTAATAGATTGCATACACCAATAAGATAACCTCAAAAATTTGTGAGTGGGTGTTCTTTTTGTTAACACTTAATTTTTATGACCATCTAATTTTTAAATTTATGAGTTTAAAAGAGTAAAAAAAAAAATAATTGTTTGAAAAAAATAATTTAAGCGTTTAATTAAAAAAATATATGAAGTGTATGGATAAAAAAAACCCAATTAAGGATATAATTGAAAAACTCAAGATTTTAATTAAAAAAGGGGTAATTTTTAAGAAAAAACCAATCAAATCAACCGAGGCACAAAATACCCCCAAACTATCCTTAATCAAGAAGTTACATCATAATGTAACTAGAATCGTTGCTTTCCCATACCAAAACACAGATTTTAATTTCAATTTGCAATCCTCGGAATTCTGTTTCGTTTGAAAATGTGAAACAAGAATAAGGGGCCAAACCGAAGTTCATCACGAGCAAAGTAATGAAACAGAATAAAGAAATACAGAGCATAAAATCATGAGCAAAGTTGCACAAAAATCAAATGTTCCATTTACCACAGCTAAATGATGATGAGGAAAAGAGAATGAGAGCAGTAGTTAGGAATGATAACTCCAATAAAAAATTGCTTACTTTTCCACGAATCAAATAACATCTGTACTACTAGTTTCTTGGCTTGAAATTAAAGTGGAACATGGATAGTAGAAGAGCAACATTCTCTTTCTTTCCAGCCCCTTTCTGATCTCCACCACCGGGGCACAAAATCTCTCAACTGTTTTTCTACCTCATCATATTTACTAATTGTTCTTAGCTTACATATGTCCAGTTTTGAACTTATATATTTATACTTAACCAGATTAAAAGTATTATTGTTATTTGCCACTCTCTTATGAGGATTATAAACACCTCACTACATTAAACCACTCAATCATACTTCTCTCATCAACATCATTATTTTATCTGTCAAGCTTGCTTGTCCTGGGCTTGATGTGGCTAATTAACCTGTCCTGCTCAGTGAGGGCATGGCGGAAGTGGCAGCGATGGCCATAAGGACACACATCACCAGCGACGACCATTTTGCAGACCTCAGTCTTGTAGCGAGGGTGACGGATGACAGGGCGGAGCTCCTTAATTCCATGAGCAAACTGGCAATGGTCACCGTATGGGCAAGCCCCTGTCTCCTGCCATTTGTTGCACAACTCTGTTTTGAACATTCCTTGATTATAAACTTCCAGCTCAAGTGGCGGCTCCTCCTCCTCATTCTTGCCTCCACGCACGTAAACCTTCTGTTGTATTTGCAAATATCATCATGATGCAAATTGAGTCAAAAGATCGTGTAAGAAGTTAATTTCAGCACAGAATTACAGAGAATTCGATTTAAATGCACGCTGATAGGGAAGCAATGATCTATTATAATGACAAATGATTTATCAAATGCCAAGACATAAAATTAGCCGCATAAAGATAACAATACTCGCATGTTCTTGATCTCATTATGCTAAATTCCGTCCATGGACCTCTCTCATTTTAATCTCATCAGTTGACGCATGTCTAATAGATCTAGGAATTATTTCTGAAAAAAAAAACGTTAATTGCAAATATGCAAATTACTTAAATAAATTTCTTCCAGAAGAAAAAAGAATCAAAATGAATGCAGCGAAACAATTGCTAGGCGCTATTAGTCCAAGCCTAATAGATAGATCTATTAATGAGATTAATAATTACCGCAGTATTGAGTGGACTCGCTGTTCTTGGTCGAGTGATCATGCTCCGAGTCACACTAGCACTACCCGCGTGCTGCTGATTCATCTTCGACTTCGAGCAGCTATTAGACCTCACCGAAATACTTTTAGGCAATGAAATCCTCTCCATGTCATCGCTCCCTGTCTCCATCACGCTCGTCGGACTTTCATCCTCATCGTACATGTCATGACCACCACCGTCTCCGCCGCTGATGTTGCACAAATTGCGAAAACCACGATCAATGACAAACGGTTTCATTGTAGAATCGTCGTAGTGTTGGTGGAGTGAGGCTCGGATGAGGACGCTGAGGTGATTGTTGAGCTCGCGGTTGACAGATCGAAGAGTGGTGTTCTCTTGGCGGAGAGACTCCATTTCGACAGTTACCTCACGGAGGCGCGCGAGGCAGAGAGCGCTTCGGTTTATGAGGTCCTGGTGTTGCATTATGAAGCGAGAGTTGTTTATAGAAAGGGAGGCTTGAGAGAGAGGGAAGATATCGGAGGTGTAACCAGCGTCGTTTCGAAAATTGTCCTGGAATTTTGTTGCGGTGGTGGTGAAGTCGCCGTTTAAAGCCGAGGAGGTTCCTATTTGCATTTCCTTTTTCACTGAATTCTACATATATACAAAAAAATAAAAATCTTGTTGAGAAATATTTCCTCTGTTAATTAGAAATTAAACACAAAGAAAATCTTTGATTTATACTCAAGGCTGCGGTTTCTAATTCTTCAACTGAAATTATTATTATTTTTCACATTAACTATTCACCAATCGAACTTAATGAAGCATCAATCAACAATAGAAAGTAGAAACTGGAAATTTCTGCAATTTTATTATGATCGAAATCCTCAAAAACATGAAATTACTAATCATAGAAAAATTAAGAAATTGCAAGAGTTGTGATTCAAGAGTGGATCAAAAACATCAACAACGAAGCATGATTAAACAGTTAGGAAAAAAATGCGAACCTGAATGAGGGAGAGAAGAGGGGAAGAGCGAAAGAATGAAGGGTTTTATAGAGAGAGAAAATTGGAGGGAAAGAGAGGATGCGAATTTCTCTCTTAAAATCGTTTCCCATTCGAACAAACATTCCTTTCTAACAGAATCTGCCTCTCTTTCGACCATTTTGCCACTGACAAATGTCAAATGAGGGTTTCTCCCTGCATTTTCATGGGGGTGTTTTAGTTATTTCAACTTAAATTAAGCTCACTTCAGTAGCTACTTTACTAGCATGCATGTATACTCCCTACTTGCTAGTACGGGGCTACCCTCCTTGCTAGTATCTCTGATGTAGATATGTCGTCTTATTTATTGGATGAATAAATACTAGACGTTGATTGCGATATCAAAGTAAATTTTTTAATTGAACGGTTCAGCCAAAGTCTATTTCGATGCTCTTGGGGTCCCTTTTTATATTTCACTGTTGTTAATTATATATTAATTATTTTATACTATTTTAAAAGCTACCTAACGGACGATGGTAGGCTAGCCTCTCTCATTTTTGGCGTGGGTCCCATCGAGTAAGAAAAGCGGCAAACTAAGCAGGCTATTATTATAATAAATAAATAAATAAACTATAACACAAGTTTACTATTCATTATTTATTATTTATTACAGTATTCTACGTACTATTCATCTAAATTTATATTAATTATTCACATAGATTTAGATAAATTTAGATGCATCATTTTTTTTAACTATTTAATGTCTTTTTGTAATTTTTAAATATTTTAAAAATATTTATTATGAAATTTTTGTGATATTACACTTTGGTCATTCTTTTTTAAATATTATTTTTTTAATCTCTAAATATTTTTATTTGATTTTGATATTATTTTTTTGTTTCATTTTGCTCACTTGATCCTTAGTTTTTTCTCTAATTTTTTTAATTAAAAATTTTAAGGTAAAAGGATGTTTAAAAAAATATTTTACAAAATAAGTTGTTAGCTAAAAATATGGATAGAAATAAATAAATAATATTTTTTAATAAAAAATAAAAATAATTAGTTAAATATAAAATTTTGATTAAAAAAATAAAATTGAATGAATTTTTAATCAGTTTTGATTTCATATATTTTGCTCAACATACAATATAATAGGAAACATTCAAATAAAATAATTTTATATATTTTAATAGGAAACATTCAAATAAAATAATTTTATATATTTTGACCGACTCGTAATATAGCACGAGTAAAAAAACTAGTTAATAATATATTCAAAAAGGTCGATTCGTAAAATGAAACATAATCTAATTACCATAAAAGCTAAATCCGTTTTTTATTTTTATTTTTTTTCTTCTTGATTGTGAGTTTGGTTAGAGTGTAACAAAAAAGGCCATTAAACAGTAAGATAGCATGCAGGTGCCATTGCTGTTAGAGATAGCATTTGATTATAAAGTCGCTTGGTTTTGAAGTTAATTGAAATAGAGGGTGGTGGTGGTGTTAGGGGGATTTAGTTTTTCAAGTGAAGAATACAGATTAAGACACGTCTTAAACCATACAGGAAGACAGAAAAAAATCATCATAGTCTTATATATATATATATATATATATATATATATATATAACTATATATATATATATAAAAGTTAAAAGACTTTGCTTCTTTATCACAACTATAACTACCATCAAAATCCAATACAAAATCAAAATGGTTGGTGAATAAAAAAAAGCCTAAAGTGATCCCACAAATTTTGCACTTTTGAAAGTTGTAATCCTATTTGTTTATATCATGGTTGTTAGCCTTGCGATTTGTATGACACATGCATATGGGTTCCTCTTTCGTTTTCTTATATTACAGTTTGGTCATGTTCCTTGTAATAATCTCTATTCCACATAGCTGTTGCTGGGGTATATATCATCATGGCAAAAGACCAGTTGATATGCAATGACCAATTCTTCTAATTATTTTGCTTCTTTTTGGTCATCAGAATCCAAAACTATTGATCCATGCCTGTTCGTCAATCTAGATAAGGGTTGGTCTTCTAAAATCACAGGTCCGCATTTCCTTTCTGCACTGTTTATGGAAGAAGACTACACATCTACTCCTCAATCATTTTCCAATGAACAACTTGAAAAACAAGTGATTATAGTTAAGTTAATTATTACCTTGCGTATGAAATTATGATCAATTGGACAAAATCTGTTTTATACGTTGGAGTGTGATTTATATATAGATCATAGCACCATAAGAAGTGATTATGTTCTCAATCACGCTAAGTAATGCAGTATTAACGGATCTAACAAGAAGTTGGAGCAGCAAATTAGGTCCATCAAATTGCTTGCAATTTCATGAACCTAATTTGATAAATATCTGCTCGTAAATTGTATCACGGCTTTTCATTGATAATATTTCAGTTTTGGTTTACCCAGAAAGGTAGTTGAGATCAATTTAGTACTACTGCATTTGTGCATCAGTGGGTCTTCTGAAAGAAAAGAAAACCTTATCACTTCCTCAAGCAATATAAATATATGCTAGGTTGAAGCACAGCTTAATTACAGTCCATGCATTGTTCTATTACTCATCATATATGATACGGCATGGTAGCGTTAGCCTATATTGAACCCATTTTGGCAGTTGCTATCTTTTTCATCCTTATTTGCCTGTTTAGCAGCAACAATGGTCTTCCATGGACCTGGCCTCTACTTGGCATGTCTCCAATGCTTCTTCTTAACTTTCACCGGCTTTACGAAAAAGCTGTTGAAATTCTTGAGAGAAGTCAAGGTACTGTTTTAGTCAAAGGTGTTTTGGTTTACAAACATGGATATGTGGATCACCAGCAATCCTGCAAATGTGCACCACATAACAACAACAAACTACGTACTTGAATTATCACAAAGGATCTAAGTCGAAGTAGGTGTTTAACACCCTGGGAAGTTCGCTTTTCAATTTGGATTTTGAGGAATGGCCTTACTATAGAGGACGACTCCATGCCTTTTTCAGTCACTATCAGTTTCACCAATTCTTTACCGAGGTCTTGGTTTATAATGCGAACGTATGTCTGATACCATTTCTTGAAGAGGTAGCAAAACAGGGTTTGGTGATTGATTTGCAAGATCTGTTTAAAAGGCATACATATGATGCTGCTTGCACAATCGCTACTGGATATGACCTCAAAACCCTCTCCATTGGTTTTGAAGAAGATGTATTCTTAAAGGCCATAGATGATGCTTGTGTAGCAACGTTATCTAGCTAGGCACATCTTGCCAGGGGGATGTTGGAAGTTGCTTAGGTGGTTACAGATTGGAAGTGAGAAGAGACTAAGCATTGCCAAGAGTACTTTACGTCAAATTGTAGCAAAATATATGTTGGCGAAGAGAGAAGAACTGAGTACAGGAGTAAAAACAACGGAAGATGAAGAGACCGTTGATGCATTGCGATCTTTCTTGACTGAAAATGATATTAATGACAAAGAACACCGTGATGAAGTTATGAGAGACAGTACTATAGGTCTCATTTTGCAGCGCATGACACCTCTAATGCAACTCTCTCTTGGTTCTTCTTGCTTCTTTCCAAGAACCCGCATGTTGAAATTAAAATCAGAGAAGAAGCCTGACAACAATTTCTCACTGAACAAAGGTAAAAAATGGCAGCTAATTAGAATAGAAGAGTTGAATAAGCTGGTTTATCTCCATGCTACCTTGCGTGCAAGGCTATACCCACCAGTTCCTTTCCAGAGTAGCAATTTAATTATAGCAGACATCCTTTCAAGTGGTCCCCATGTAAATCCAAATAGGTTAATTAATTGGATGGTATCTTGTACTATGCGTGTATCATAAACTAGTAATTCGGATTAAAAATTTTTCAATTCAAATACTATAATTAATTTTTAATTTATAATCAAGTCTCGTTGAACTCGTTGATCAAATTCCAAACACATATAATAAAAGCATGATGGTGAATTAATCAAACTATCTTTGAAATTATTTTTCCTCTTTGTTTTTTTCCCCTCCTTTCCTCTCTCTCGTGCCCCAACCTTTACTTTTTCTCTCAAAAATTCAGATAGATCCATGAAAATAATCAAAGAAAACACATTTCACACTTCTTTCTCCCTTTTTCGGTTAGCAAACCAAATAAAACTCCTCATTTCCTTCTTCTTATCCTTCATAACTAGTTCATTTTTTGAAAAAAAAAAAAAGTTTCTTATTTTTTTCTTAAGCCAAAAAAAAATAATAATAATAATAAAATTGTTTCTTTCATTTTCGGGTTAGAGATTGTCTTTGTAATCACACATCAAGTGTTTGATGAAATATTTCCCTCATTCCTTCAATCTTCTAATGGTACCGGAGTAAGATCAAATGACTTATACATCAAATATGCTAACAAATATTGTGGATGTGGATGCGAGCTTTTTTAGGATTTTAGAGTCCAAGAAAAATTCAAATATGCTATATTTTTATTGTGAAAGATTTGAGTTTATGAATTTTTATGAACTGATAAATTTGCTAGAGTTCTTGAAGCTTCAAATGATGAGTATGGAGATGCAAGAGTCGAAGGAAGAAGTTCAAAGGATGGCTGCATGTTTTTTGCTTTGTTATGCCATATGATTCTGCTTTTATATGTTTTAAACATATAAAAGGGTGTTTCTTGTTGTA